AATTATGGATCCAACTAGCTGTATATACCGATATGTTTCACTCGCCCTCTGCCTGCGTTTTCGCCTGGTCCTTTTGTTTGCAGAATATACGTTTTGTCCCTGAAGGACCGACTTTTTACATGGTGTCAGAGAAGGAGAAGAACATTAGTACCACCCAGACGATGATTGGAGCTGCACCGGCTATTCAAATGCCTGCCCCGCTGAACATGGATGAACGCAGTTTGGCAAGCAACGCGTTTGGGGAAGAGCAAATGGATGGATTTCTGCACTTTATCTCGTCTGGACAAACAACTGATGGCGTACCGCTTGGCCATGTTTCGACACGCAGCAGGAGATGATGCGCGCCGCGTGCTAGAAACATTGTGTTACGACAAGAGCGAAGATGCCAACAATCTGGAGACAGTTCTTGAGAAGTTCAGTGAATACTGCGAAGGATAAACAAACGAGACATTTTAACGCTACCTCTTCTTTTCGCGGAACAGGCAGCAAGGTGAATACATTGACACGTACGTCACTGAGCTAAAGATTTTGGCCCGATCCTGCAGTTTCTGTAAATGCATGGCGGTCAGTCTCTTACGGGACCGCATTGTTCTTGGGATGAATGACGAAGGTTTGACGAAGCGACTGTTACGAAAGCGCAACCTATCTCTGCAGCAACGTATCGACATCTGTAACAGTGAGTCCTCCACTGTCTATCAGTTCCAGCAGATGACAATCACAGGTGCTTCAGTTGTGCGCCGTTTCCAGGAGCAAAACTACGAGGGCCACGACCGCGTGACAGGAGCCCTGCAACTTCTGTGCAACACGACAGCCGAGGAACCGCGAACAGTGTCCGGCGTGGTGCCGTATTTGTGTCAAATGTGGGAAGCACAATCACTTTGCCCGCTGCTGTCAGTCGACAGATGGCAGTGCACTCGTTCCAGACAAATCAACAGAAGACACCGAACAATCGACTGGTAACGTGTCTCAGAAAGCGTCGCAGAAGTGTGTCTATGCAAGTCTTCTGATCAAGGAACGGTCTGCGCGATTCCAGTTAGACACAGGCGCGACGATCAATATTTGGCCCAGAAAGCACCGCCGCAGCGTGCATATTCAATCGGATCAAGATTATTTGCGCATGTAGAATGGTTCCAGACTCAAGTCAATGGACTCAGAGACAATTGAAGTGGTCAATCCGAGAGACGGTGTTTCGCATTGTCTGCAATTCGTGATTGTGGATGAGGATCTCGCGCCGATTCTCGGCATTGATTCGATTTTATCTCTTGGCTTTGTCATTTTTAACCATGCTCGTTTTGTGTACGCTTGTCAGAGTGAGGCCGATGTTAGTGACCTGTATCCGTCTGTGTTTAGTCCGGGTTAAGGGGAATTCGAGGGTACCGCTCACCTGTCGTTAGATCCTTTGGTAGGCCCGATTGCGTTACCTGCTAGGAAAGTCCCAGTTGCGCTAAGTGACCGATTTGCCGCGGCATCGAACAATCTTGTTATGCAGGGTGTGACTGTAATGGTTGATGAGCCAACAGACTGGGTTAGCCAGGTCGCAATCATTACGAAGAAAAATGACGAAATACGCGTATGTATAGACCCGAAGCCACTGAATGAGGCCCTGCGTAGAGCACATCATGCTCTACCGACGTTAGAAGATATTTTACCACGTTTGACAAAAGCTACGTTTTTCACGAAAGTAGACCTTTCTCCCGCATTCTGGCACGTTGTTCTGGACGACGAATCCAGTTCCCTCACCACATTTGCTACACCGTTCGGACGTTATCGTTGGCTGCGACTACCGTTTGGCCTGAAGGTGGCTAGCGAAATTTTCCAAAAGCGTTTGGTGCAAACAATAGATGATTTAGATGGCGTAACCTGTTTGGCAGATGACGTTCTGATTTACGGTTTTACCGAAGAAGAGCATGGCACTAAGCTATACCGGTTCCTGAGGCGCTGCGTGCAAAAGAACATCAAGCTAAAACGCGAGAAAGTAGAGCTGCGGAAAGAAGAGGTGATTTTCCATGGGCATGTGTTAACATCCGACGGAATCAGGGCGGACCCAGGGAAGATTAAGTCAATACAAGGGATGCCGTCCCCTAACGATGTGAAGGCAGTCCATCGCCTAAACAGTATGGTGAATTATTTAAGCCGGTTCCTACCAGGCCTCGCTGATGTCATGACTCCGATTAGGCAGTTAACTCACAAAGGAGTAAATTGGAGCTGGAGGAAGGAACAGGATTTGGCTTTCGCAACCATTAAGAACCTTATCAGTAATGCGCCCGTACTCGGATATTACGATCCAGCACAACCATTGGAGGTACAGTGTGATAGTAGCCAGAGTGGAATAGGTGCTGTTCTGTTGCAGAACGGAAGACCTTTGGATTTCCGCAGTCGAGCACTCACAGAGGCCGAGAAGCGGTACGCACAGATCGAGAAAGAGATGCTGGCAGTGGTCTATGCCATGGAGCGTTTCAATGATTATACTTTTGGAAGGAAGACAACCGTGTACACTGATCATAAGCCGCTGGTGTCGATAGCCACTAAACCACTGAATAACGTTCCTCGCCGTCTGCAGCGTATGCTTATCCGGCTCCAAAAGTATGACATTGACATTGTGTACACACCTGGAAAGAAAGATGTTCATCGCGGACACCCTGTCGAGAGCACATCCGTCGTGGCCGAACATCATCTAGCAGAGATCGAGACAGTTAGCATGGTGCAGCATCTGACAGTGACAGAAAACCGTTTGAAAGACACAAGGCGTTTCACGGAGGAAGACCAAACTTTTGCAGCTATGCGAGACGTTATCCTCAATGGGTGGCCAAAAACAAAGAAGCAGCTTCCGAAGGAATTAACACCCTACTTCAATTTTCGGGACGAACTCACTGTCTGTGACGGTCTGTTGTTCAAGGGAAGTCGAATCCTAATCCCTTCTTCTCACCGAAAGGAAATGCTGGAGCATGTCCATCGCGCTCACCCGGGTGCAAATTACACCATTAATCGAGCAAGAGAACTGATGTTCTGGCCAGGAATGACAGGTCAGATCAAGGATCATGTGTCTAACTGTGAGGCGTGCCGTTCACACGACATACGGCAAAAGAAGGAACCGATGATGCTGCATGATGTTCCGGACCGACCGTGGCAAAAGGTAGCAGTGGATCTATTCTGGGACAACGGAAAGGCTTACTTACTCACGGTGGACTACTATAGTGATTACTTTGAAATCGATTTACTCACCACCACGACCACGGAGGCAGTAATCAACAAACTCAGATGTCAATTCGCACGGCACGGGGTACCGGAGGAGCTAGTCTCGGACAACGGTCCCCAGTTCAGCAGCAGGGCATTCCAGGCTTTCGCAACCAAATGGGAATTCGCACACTGGTAAACCAGTCCCTATCACAGTCAATCAAATGGGAAGGCAGAGTCGGCAGCGAAGCAAGCCAAGCGACTATTAGCGAAGGCTAGAGATACTCGGGAGGACCCATACCTCATGCTGCTGGAGAGTCGCAACACTCCTTCAACGGATATCGGCCTGAGCCCAGTGCAGCGCCTATACAGTCGAAGGACCAGAACTGTGATGCCTGCATCCGCAACACTTCTGCGCCCTGTCACGCCACAACTTGAGAAAGTACAGAACAGTTTGAAAAGGCGAATGGCTACTCAGAAACGGTACTACGACAACGGCGCACGGGAATTACCTGAGCTGACAGTGGGGGAAGAAGTATGGGTTGAACTAATTCCCGATGGACATGAGCCATGGAAAAAAGGAGTCGTGGCTGCGAAAGTCGGTGAAAGGTCATACGAAGTAAATGTTGGAGGGAAGAAGCTGAGAAGAAACCGAGTACAGCTGAGGAGATGTCCGAGGCGACAGCATGAATCAGGGAGAGAGCGTTATACTGCGTGCGGCAATGAGGCGACATCGGCAGATCCAACAAAGAGGACGCTGAGTGGTAAAGTGTATGGACTATTTAGCAAAGTACAGCAGCAAGAACATGAAAAAAGGGAGGATGTGATGGGAGTATACACTCGAACGAACGTGCGGTGCCAGCCAAGCAAAAAAGCCGTTAGGCTGCAGCAAGGAAAGGCAGCAGCTGATAGGACGTTCACACGTTTCTCGCATGCACGCTGATTGGCCAACAGTTGGACGCATTGGAGTGAGTTTGTTTGACTGAATCAAAGGAAAAATGTCATGCATTCACAAAGGTCGTTAATTATGGATCCAACTAGCTGTATATACCGATATGTTTCACTCGCCCTCTGCCTGCATTTTCGCCTGGTCCTTTTGTTTGCAGGATATACGTTTTGTCCTTGAAGGACCGACTTTTTACACCTGGCCCCCGGCAACCTTTTACCTTAGCTTACGCCGGTCCACCGATCATGCACTTCCACGCATGCTCACAAACG